GCACACAAAGTGCTACACATCCAAAGTTCACATGTAGTACCCCAAGACCACTAGTTGTTTTGAAATCAAGGAATAGGAAGGAGGATAATTGAAACATATTCCTCCCAAGAACTCACACATTATCTACCACAAAAACTAGAAAAGTCATAGACCATGTACTTAAGGACTGGCAAGAAGTCTTGTCCTGTATAGTTGTGTTGTTGCTATATATGCATTGTACATAAGACCCTTAAGTAGTAGGACAGCATCTTGGAAGATTGGCAGCTGACTGTTTGTGTTTTCTTTGCCACTTCTACTCTAAGTCACTCACTATTAATTCAAGAACTTAGTTGTTTTTGTATGTATTTTCAAATGGACAAAGTGGAAAATTTTCTTTTTGCATTTCAAGATTTTCTATGTAGCTAAATTTTCTCTAACTATGCTGTAGTAGACATGGTAAAGCAATCAGAAATGTCATGCTTTGGTCATGTGACCTCAAGGATTTGAATGAGGTCTACCTTATCAGACATGACCACAACAGCTGGTATTACTTAAGCTGTTTATTCAGTCTACTGTGGCCACCTCTCACAATGTTGCCACCATTGTGCATCAAGTCCACTGCAGTCATTTGCCATGCCCACCAAGCTTATTTTGGTAAGCTGCCCAAAATGCTGATCCCTATAAAATGCTGACCTTCACAATTTCAGCTCTCTTTTCTTCCTCTATTATCTCATTATAGTACTATGAAATTTATAACATAGTCATTAGATTAGACTTGAACTACATTACATTACATAGGACATTTGTCTATGGTCATCTACACTATGGTAAAGCAGACATTCAGCAATGTCAAAATGCACTGCATGTGTCTCTGACTCAGATGAAGAACATCATGCAAAATACGTCAAATCAAAGGCAGCAAATACAAAGGCAACATTGCCTACATTTTCAATCCTGACCAGACCAACAAGTTCATTGCAGTTCTAATCCCCCCGAGGGATTTTCCTTATCCCATGCCTGTTACAACTATGTAGGCCCCTATTCATTTTCCCTTTCTTACTGTGTATTATGTCATGAGCCACATGATGCCACCACTAGACTTATCTCTGACTCGTACCTTGTATTACATCACAATCACTATTGCTGTTGTTAGATGACCTATTCTTGCTATTGCTTATGCTAGACTTATCTCTGACTCATTCTATTCTCACACCTGCCCTAAAGCACAGTAGTTTACTATAAATAGTCCTCCTGTATGCTTTAGTTCTTTACTTTAATCCTACTAGGTTTTACCCTGAATATCCTTTGCTTGAGACCCCCAATCTCTTGTCGTCCGAATCATACTTTAAGTTAAAGGCACTCCCTTTGACTTAGCTTACACCAAACACTTGACTTATTGTCTTGCGTAGAATCTCAACAGAGGTCATTGACTCTTATTGAGTCATCTGTTAGAACTACCCTAGTTCATAACAATGCCAAAAGGATCAGTGTCATTGTTTGACAGATTCCACATTCCAGCCAATTAGGCCAAGACCAACATTACTCATGGTGGTAATGTCATAAGGTTAAAATTTAGAGGTGAGGACTACTATGGCAGACTTCTCAAGAACTTTCACCATTACATCATTGATCAGGTCTCCATTCCTCACCCAGACAATATCTGCCTCCACTGCCAGTCAAGATTTGACCTGACTTTCATCAAGCATTCTTAATGCACATCTTACATTCTGGTGACTGTGTGCATCTGATTCAGGGTGAATTCCCTTCAGAAATCAGCACAACATTATCTGTTGACCATACATCCTAGCAGCTCTTTACAATTGCAAGTCAAAGCTGATGGTATTTGTAATGAAATTGAAGCTTGTCTTCAAGATGTGGAGTGAGTATAGAGGGTTGGTGATGAAGTCAAAGTTGTAGATGGCATGCACTTGGGAGTTCAAGGGCATATTATTCAAAGACAGGAAGTGATATTCAACATATGTCAATATACAACCAATGAACAGGGACATTTCTTTCTATCTTAGTAAAGCCATAATTTTTCAACCCATTTTACAGATCCAGGTGTCTCAATATTACCTGGATTGTCATCCCTTGAAGCACTCAGTTGAAGCACAACTTCTCCTGTCCCAACACATTGAACCTCTGCCTGAACAAGAATCCATCAAAATTGGTGACTTCATTGAAGTTGTTAGGGGAGAGCTCCTTAGGAAGTCCAGCATTGTCAAATGGGTCACTCCAGGAGGTCTGATGGTATGATTCCAGGATGCCAACCTTCCACTCACAGTTGAGGACAGCCTCAAGACACCCCTGATCAAGGTGGCTGCTTCTGCAGTCCTACTTCACACACATTCCCCCCACCCTGAAATTCATGAAGGACAAAGGCTATGACATCAAGCCAGGAGACTGCATCAGCATGGCCTGTGGGCCTAAGTATCAAGCCACAGGCATCATGGAAAGCATTGACTTTCCTAAAGCCTGGCTGGTATTTAGGTCTGATAATGACCTCTCAGTTATTAGTTAAATCAAGTCTTAAGCAGCATCTGTTTGCTAATTCTCAATAGATCAAGGTACCAATGAGATTTGCAATGAAAGTCTGGAACTCACACATTGAGACATTCTATGCTTACATTGGCAAAGAGGTTTATATTATTGGGGGGAGAAGAGAGGGTACTGAGGTACCTTGCATGACATACACAGTGACAAATGCACAGTTGCTGTCCTAGGCCAACACCAGATATCCCTTCCATGCTGTAACATTGTGATACAGTGAGTTGCACCATATTTCATGTCATTAAATTACTGACATGCATCAGATATGGCATGAGGCTTATCCCAGTGGGATCATGATGATGTCAAAGTGTAGCACAATGTCCCATAATGTAGACTTGAGGCTCATGCTTGGCACTAATGTTACTACTACTCTTTGTTTTGACCAGGTCTGCATTGTCCAGCCTATGCAGATTTAATAGCATATGTCTCACATTCTACTTACAATACAGCCTATCTACTTTGATTACATCCAATCTACCTTGGACTGCCATAGGCTACATAGGAAAGATGTCTATATACCATGAAATGGGAAACTTAAATTGTGACATACAAGGGGAAGGTGGTGTAGGAAACACAACAAGAAAAGAACTGGAAAGTAACCTTCTAAAGTTGGGTCAAATGTGCTATGCCTAGCTGCTATTTAACTCTAAAGGGCTTCTGGACTAAGCTCAGTGCTCAGAGAGGATAGGAAATCATGCTAATAACTCTCAGTCTCAGACTGGTACTGGTAGGTGGTGAAAACTATGATGATTACATAAGCACCAAAAGTGCAAATATAACACTAAGTAATATCTGCCTATACAAGCCCACAGTAAATGAAATCCCTACAGCAGGCACTCAAAAGATACCTAATGAAATCAGTCCATATTGTGTTACTCTTGATCCTCAAAAGCCCAGTTGAGCAATGTCTAACATTTTAGTGGTAGATCACTCCTACAGTGCCCTTCCCCCCTGCTGTCCCTGGCCTAACATTAGCCTTCCAAAGTCTATCCATCATCAGTTCACTGCCAAGAGATCTATGTGAGATTTCAGTAGTGTTTGCCCACTACAATCTATGTGAGATTGATGGAGATCCTCTCATGGAGTTTATACCAAGCCTAATCCATATAGGCTTGGAAATGCTTGTGCTCCTATACTGCGGTGTCTTCTGAGATCTATGTCCAATGTGACAAAGGTGTGAGGGATTTTGTACATCACATCCACCTGATCCCTTTACTGGGCTCTCTGACCATACTCCTTCTCAAGCCCACAGAGATGCAAGCAGTCTTCTCACACCCCTCATTGATCAACCTAGTAGTTGTTATACATGACAAACTGTACCTGCCACAGGCTAATGTGACATTCTATTACCCTATTTGCTCTTTCAGGGTCATATTCCTCAACTCCTTCCTTCTCTGCAGGATAGGTGAGGCATTGTTAGAAACTATAATCACCCTATTGCATGCAATCAGCATCCCTTGCCAGCAATTACATATCATCCTCCCTTTCCACTTTGATGGTAACATCTTAGGGGAATTCATCAAATCCCTAGCTGCCAAGGGTACTCACCCTGGTGAGCATGTCTTCTTAGCATTTAAGGTCACACATCTGACTGTTAACACAGACAGTTTCACTCTACACAACAGTGCCTCATTAGGGTGGAATTTTCTTCAACCACTGTATTCAGTCCCTCTCACACATATCAACTTTGGGTGCTTTAATATGTGTAACCTCAATGATGATGCATTGCATGTACTCGCTTGTGACATCCTCCAAATAGAGACCCTCATTCTCAGCACCTTGCACTATTGGTTAATACCTCCTAGGGCATCCCTAGCTAGGCTTGCAACTCTTTTGCTTAACTTCTGCATCTTGAAATATCTTGGACTTATATTTAAGTATAGCCTGGGCACATTAGATTTAAACCTCCTCCTGGTCAACAAGCTTATCAACACATTGACCATTAGCATCTCTCCACCCTATAACAATATCACAGTTGCAATTTTCTTTGCCTAATCTCACTAGGGCATATGTAAAGCCTTATGATTCAAAGCTCCTATGAAATAACTACATCCTTCCTAAACATCTCATACAAGCTAAACATTGGCAGACAATCTCCAATCTAGATACATCAACATGTAGCATACTTAGACTTTAGGCTTTATGACTGTTCAAATTATGTAAGCACAATTGCTAATCCCTACAAATTAAAGTTTCCATGGCTTATGTAAGGTTTCCCTCTTCTCTCTTACCAAGTTCAAAGTTATGGAGAAATGCAAAAGTTTTCTATTAATGTATTTCAACACCACAGTGTCCTAGTGATGCCTATTTGTGATACAGGTGTGAGTTTTCAATCCATTATATAATAGGTCATTCACCCAGCTCTAGATCTCAGCCCAATCCAGTCTATTTGTGCATTAGCATACTGACTTCTTGCCTTACTGCCTCTGTGTTTTATTTGAAGGTATGCAATTCTGAATATATTGGTACCCTCACTCATACTTTGGCTTAAAATCATAATCTTCATACAGTCATGGTGGTAGTATTTTTATTCCACTAGTCATCAAGTTATTTATCAAGTCCAGCTACTAACCTGCCCCAGCAGTCATCACTACCTGCCATGCCAGGTCCCATGACATTGTGATCTTCATATGGTGGAGCATTGCCTTCTGTACCAACCATGGAAGAACTACACCCTGCCAAATGGGTTTATTTTCAAGAAGCACCATGCGACCTAACTAATACTTCAGCATGTGAGTTGTCACATTCACACCAGAGGTTCATTCATACAGCAATTTTATCAGTTTTGTGCAACTCAAAGTCCAACCAGAAGCCACCTCCCTCTCAAGAGGACATATGTAAATGGACTACCATGGAGAAGGCAACAGCCCTGTGCTTTGGTGATGGGGTGTCAGTAAACATCTGAGGAATGCCTATAGATGGTGCCCTTCTAATACTGGCAGCACATGATCTGACTCTTACCTGTTATGCTTGTCATCATTAAGAGACATATAAGACTGAGCACCTTGTTGCTAATTCTTCTGATTGGTAGAAGGTCACTACCCTGCCAATATCTATGACACAATGATTATATTGTACAAAGTTCAAAGTTAATACCTAACTGTGAATGTATGATAGAACACCTACCTCAGAGGCCAATAGTACATTGGAACATTGCATGCTGAAGGCATAAGACATGTCCAGTTGATCAAATTGATGTAAAAATATTGCCTGTGTTACCTCAGTAGGCCTCACAATATGATCTGCATAGCACACTTACATAGTATATGGAGGGGTTGCTAATATCAGCATGCTTTTGAGCCTGTGAAAGCTCTCATCAGGGGCTAACACCACCCTGACTATCTGATCCAAAGTCTATTTTGATTTGAATTCATCTTCTTTCCAGCTGTATCTATAATTAAGACAGGTTGTTAAATGACATTCATCTATAGAATGCTTCTCTAACCATATTCCTAGGACTGTACTACATTCCTCCTACTACTAATATCTAGCTAACATATATATAATGTTTACAGTTCAAAAGAGGAATTGACAAGTGTGAAGGGGCTAGATATAGGGAATGCCACCACTTTTCAAAGGCCACTGGGACATCCTGCTACTTCATGTACAGCATCGCAAGTGACCTATAATTAAGTCTATGATGGTGGAAGGTACTACCACTATTGAGTCTATAATTGAGCAGAGTGTTGCAACTGACCTGCAATCAAGTCTATGACTGCTAGAATGAAGAATGGTCTACAATTAAACTTTTGAACAATCAAGATTTGTGTACTTTCTGATGTCCTGGCCAGCTAATCTTTCATTAGGAAATGTACACTACAAACACAATTAAGGCTAGTATGGACATTCAATACTCTATGATGGTAGTGGTAGTACAAAAGAAGAAGTCTGAATATGAGAAAGTGCATAATACAGGGACACCCACATATATTCAAAGTCTGCTGGATTTGTGTGTTACTGCTGTATACTTGCCAGTTGTTGCCAGCAGAGTCTGAATCAATGACTGCTTGTCCCTATATGAACTTGTACCATCAGTGAGGCACTTTTCTCTTTTCCTACTCTCCACATATCAATAATGCTGCAAGGCTATTGTAGTTATGCAGTGTATGATGTCACATGTATGCTCTTACAGAATGTCAATGTTATTATCAATTATGGAAGAGCACTTAATGCATCTGCATCAGGCATGTAACAATCCAACTTTATGCTGTCCACATTGTGTCAGGCGCACACATTGACATTCAAAATTTGAAATGACCACTATGTCACAACCATTGGTAAGCAATCCAAAATCAGTAATCTCTATCAAATATTGACCTTGGGGTTTTGTGGCTTTTCTTTCTAGTCCACAACACAGTGCTACCCACAATACATGTCACATGATACTCCAACCACAAACTAATTTTAAGTCCCTGTGATCCCTGTCCACCATTCTTGGTGAGTGATCACATCGCTCATCCCTATAAAAGCTCAACCTTTGCATTCACAGGTCTCCTTTCCCCCTCATCACATAGCACATTAGAATCATTAGCCTTAATACAATTCCATCTTCTTTCTAACACTTAACCATACCAATAGGATAGAAGCAGTATTTCATTATATACAATGGTTCATTGCATTGCCATAGACAGAACAAATTGATTACACAGCACACAGACCAATCTGTCATGTGATCATTGTATTCTACATCTCTTGACTACAGCTTTGTAAGCACTCTAATCAGTCATCCCTATATAGGACTTATATTTGCATTCACAGCTCTTCTTTTCACTATGTCACATAGTAAATGGTACCACTAAGATACAACACTCAAGCACAGACACAATAATATAAAGTTTGCATGGTCCACAATCCACTTATTCTTGGTAAGTGACCTCATCACTCATCCCTATCAAAGCTCAACCTTTGCATTTGCAGGTCCCCCCTCCCTTTTATCACATAGTTGACAATAGCAGTTCCAGTAACTTAGGTTAATCAATGATCAAATACCTTGATGCTCTCACTCATACTTTTGGCTCCCAGTGCCATCACCCTTGATGGATCCTGCTACTTGGGATATTCTTGAACAATTTGTTTGCACAGATCTAACCTATGGTAATATGGAAGATGAACTACATGCATATCTCAGCAATTGTCATTGCCTTAATGACTGGAAGGATGTGAGGCTCACATTGTTTTCTGGCAATGACAATGACAGGTTAGCCTTGTCAAACCTCCTTGCACTGAAGCAGAAGCACATCCCACACAAGTCAAGTTCCACCTCTGCATCACATACTTGTCATCACTCTTGCACAGTAACTATCTGTTCATTTTCAATTCACAATTGATACTAAGTCAATGCAGCCCAAGAATTCATTTGTCAACATCAAAGCCAAAGAAGACAATAATGAGGAGCAGGAGGCAGATGAAGATGATGTCAAGAATGAAGATATTGAGATTGAGGATGGGGAGCCTAAATGCCATATGCTGACACTTCTGCCAGTGTGGAAGCATGATCTGTCTAATGCTATTTAGAGGATCAAGGATAATTTGCATACCAGTAGCAGTAGTTCAGGATATCAACTTTTTCCAATTGCACCTGCCCAAACAACTGGCTTTATTTTCAAAAGGAGGGTGTATGCAGTCAGCATTAATGGTAAGTTTGCATGTGGTATGTGTGTTTACACCACTCAATATATTGCAGTACCTGCCAGGCAATTCCTCACTGAACACTTTGAGAAGGAAGGATTTAAAATTGTAGTATCACTGTGAATTGCTTCCTAGCTTTATATCATGTCCAACAATCCTCAGACCTTCATGACATCCATCCCACAGTTGCATGGAGGGACCATCAAAAAATGGCAAGTTTTAAGCAAGGACAAAGAGACCACTGTCAACACCCTGCATTTGAAATTCCCTTCCCCTGCCTGGCTCAGAATCAAGCATGGGAAGTACAAGGACACCATAGGTTACATCTTCAATTCAAAGCAGACAAATAATTTTGTAACTGTACTTATCCCTCCCAGGGAGTTCCCCTATAATATGCCTAAGGGATCTGTGGTGCTCTTTGACCCCTCATGCCTGCCTACTGGAATCTTGCCATCTGATGTCACTCATGATGGAAAAGTTGTCGCATCAAAATACAAGAGTAAGGAATACTATTGTGGCCTGCTCAAGAAGAACTTTCACCAGTACTGCACTGAGTTGGTGGTTGTCCCTCATCCTGATAACCTCCACCTGCATCTGTAATCTGGTTGGGATACACTCTTCATTAAAAAGCTGAAATCACCTTCTTAAAACAGTTGTTGCACTTCAGTGAATCCATCCACATTAATATGCCAGAGCTAACATGCCAGATCTGCATCATCTTAATGACTGACCACACCTTTGGTGGATTGGTCAAGTTAGGGTTTGACTTGGATGGTTGGCACAAAGAAAATGAAGCTACAATTGACAATGTAGAGCAGGTATTCAATGTTGGCAATGAAGTTCATGTTGTGGCCAGAGCTTATCTAGGATTGGAAGGACATGTCATACAAAAATATGGTGAAATATTTCATATCTGTCAGTCTGGGATGCAGGAACAGGTATAATATCACCATTATTTTTGTACAACTCAATCTTACAATCTTTTAGGTTGAGATCTCCCAGTATTATTTGAATTGTCAGCCTATTGATTACACTCTGCAAGGACATGTGTCAACTTAACAATATGTCAACCCTCCCCAGGAGCCCAAGTCAGTTGAAATCAGCAGCTACCCCCGAGAAATCAGCACTATCAGTTGTGGATCCCAGGTGTTGCTCTACTTGGGCAGATTAGTCCCCAGATGTTCTTGTCACATATTCTTCACAACCCAATGGTCTCAGTTCCTTGATGGAGGACCCTTGGACTGCCAATGCTAGTGATGTCCAGAATCCCATTGAGCTTCAACTGAAACCATGCAGTCAGTACTCAACTACATACTGTAATAAATAAGCACTTACCTTTATTACTAACCCACTTTGCTAGCTAAAAGATTATGCCCACCAGTTTTATGGGTACCACACCCTCTTTAACATCTTGGTGAGCTTCCAAGATGGCAGGTTGCTGAAGCATCTGGTCTATACTTATTCCACAGATCCATTCTGTGAACCCCAAGACCTTGCTCCCCCAAGTCACATCTTGGCTTGGTGCACTGCCAAGACTGCAGGTGGCCCTGTGGTTGACTACCATATTCCAACTCAACCCCCAAAAAAAATCAGCAGTGCTTCATCATGGATGGTCAGTATCAAGGGGGGATCCAAACTGTTGCAAAGTGCAAAACCAAGAACTATACTGTCAATTTGAGGCTTTTGCCCAGTTTGCAGATTACTACAACTGTGGGTATTGATGATGTCTGCCTCATGGAGCCCTTAAAACACACATAGACCAAGTACCACATATTCAGGGAATTAGAGTTAGGATACACACATCACTAGTCTTGTCTTTACATGTATACCTGCAATTACCAATACCAACACCTTTCAGTGTAAAAACTTCATTTAGTCTGTGTTTGATCATCACTGTCTAGATCTAGATATGATCTATACATGCTTCTGACCAACATTATTCCATATCATGTTATTCTAATTAGTAACTTTCACTGACTTATGTAAGCAGATCACTCATTCCTACAAATCAAGCACCATTCCTAGCTTACATAATGTTTTCCTTCTTTCCCTCTCACATCAAATTATCCAGATGTGAGCTTCTAATCTCTCATAGTTGTAACACGTGTTTTAACATGTGGTTATCTCTTATATTCTTCATTAGATGAAGATCCTTCAGAGTGGTGGAGCTTGGTATGTGCATAATACCTTGTGATTAGTGCCAACTGATCCTCCTGTTGCCAGCCATGACTCCAGCAATCTTTAGGTCAAAGTCCCAAATCTTATATCATATGCTACTAAGTTATTACTCAAGGAATTGTGGCATGCAATCAATCTGGTTGATCATCTTGGACAATTTTACACCAGCTTCTGTGTAAAATTTCATGTAAGATTGCACAAGCCCTGACAGAAGTATTATCTGATAGAGTATCTTACAGCCTGCATCAAGTCAACAACATGCATTGATTTGAAAATTGTACTATGCCAGGCTTGGAATACCAGAATGTAAGTTCTGTTTTGTAGCATCCTTTACCTTGGATGCAGCCCTGACAGCACATCTGGCCACCATACATATATCTCAGGATCAACATCATTGTGTGCAAATCTGCCAAGATAAATGGATGCACTCCATAACCAACCATGACAGAACCATACACTAGCACCTGCATTCATCTTCAAGAGGCAGTTTATCAACATTTTTCACCTAATTAATGTCTCACACAGCCCCTCAAAATTTTCACTGGCTTCTCTTAGAGATACTGGTTAGAATAAGTCCAGCACCCATTGTACAAAACAAACCACTCATGCCTTTCCTATATGAAGTCATGCTCACAATATGTGAGTGGGTCTACAGCAGCTGTTAAGAACCATGTTGCTCAAGGGAGAGAGAGACTGACTCAGAGGGGCTTGGCCTCAGCTTGTACACTGTGCCCCTTACCCAAGTATGGGCCCTTTATTTAAGAGGAAGTCTGATGATGGTCTGATGAAGTCTGGAATACTTCTGGAGGCTGGCTACTCTGGTGGAGTGCTAGAGGACTTCCCGAGGACTGTGGGAAACATCTGGAGGAGCGTGGGAGAGTTCCGGAGGAATGCAGGAAGTGCTCAAGAGAGTTCCCACTGCAAGGTAATACCTCTACAGGAAATAGAATGGAAGGGTAGGAGGTCCGAAGGTCCAGAGGACAGGAGGACAGCAGGACAGGAGGACAGGAGGGCAGGATGATGGAGGACAGAAGGACAGGATGTCTGGAGGTACAAAGGACAGGAGGATAGGATGTCCGAGGGTTAGGAGGACAGGATGTCCAAAGGTATGGAGGGTGGGATGTCTGAAGGACAGGACACCCGGAGGTCTGGAAGGAATAGGGGCTACATCAGATGAAGTCTGATGTAGAAACAAGCAGAGGTAGACTACCCTAAGGTAGAGTCAGAGAGAACAGGGATTGGACCTAAGTCCAGAAAGAGGGTAAGTGCCAGAAGGGCAAGGCTCCAGCCTAGGGAATCAATCCCTAGGCCTGATGGATAGGACAGACTTAGGTGAACCAAAGTCTGAGAGAGGATTGGGCAAGTAGAGCAAAGTCTAAGATGATATTCACACTGAGGAAACTAAAGGAGTATCTACAGAGGTTATATACTGGACAATATCTGAGGGGATCAGTAAGCAAAGGAGCAAGGCTATGTATGAGCATGTGGAAACACATTAGTAAGTAAGACGGAACATAACTAAATGAACTTGGAGATAAAGACTTGTACAAGGATCGATAAGCAAGACAGAACAAAAGGTAACTGAAAGCTGGAAAGGCAGAGATGCCTAAATGTGGATAGGCACAGGATATTGGACAGAGGGTGGGAATAGGTCCAGAGATCTTGGAATCCAGAAGACAAGGTGGATACAGGACTGGGATATGAGAAGGTGGATATAGTCTGGAATCTGAGATAAGGTGAAGTCTGGATGTCTTGCTGGATGGAGTGCACATAGGGTGGACAGGATAGGGTGGTACATATCAGGCTAGCAGTGAGGATCTAGAGATCTGGAGCTCAGGGGTAAATCCGGAGCAGAGTTGATCCTACTGAGGTGTGGAGCACACAGCAGAAGGGAATCTGGCAATGAGTCAGATATGGGGTCTGGACATAGGCTTGGAAGGCGTGGGAATATTATGGAATGTGGGTCCAGATTGTGGGATATGACAGCAGTCTTAATAGTTAGCATCATTTACTCCCACTGTGAGTAGTGAACAGTTATGTGTCTGACATTGTGCTGATGGTCTTATGAAAGGAGTTACCTTCTCCTGTACCATTGCTTTACCTGATGAAACCTGGCACTATGTGAGTTATTCCATTATTCTTGATCTTCAGAATTCTTGGGCTACCTTAGAACCTTGTTTCAATCTCTTTCCCATGGCAACTTGCCTGTCTAGATATCTGCGCCCCTCACATTTGCACAATTATCACATGCCCATGGCATCTTAATCATGAGCAGGTTGATGCTATCCTATCCATCATCCATTGCCATGCTTTGAGATCCAATATCCCCCTCCTTCCACACCTGACTCACTTGCAACTAGTTAACTCAGGCAGGTCCCTTCTTGAACTCATATCATCCATCATCAATATCAGTTTGCAAATGCTCATCATCCCAGACTTGGGTGGCTGGTCAGATCCTGTTCTCTCTTGTGTCCTTAGTATGCTCCCCTCTGACACATTGTCTGGCTTGAGCTTGGTCAATCCATTTGTGAGCTCATTAAATGCATTCACCTTTTCCTCAGCCTTCACTTTATGACAGCACCCTTGATTAAGGACATGCAACCCATCTTTTTGCATCCCTCCCTACTCAACCTGATAGTAATTGTATATGGCAACCTGCACTTACTGCTGCATGCCTCATATTTCTATCATCCCCTCCTCTCCTTTAGCATTGCATTTCAGATGAGCTTCCTGGATGGTAGCATACCCCTTGAAGTTTTCAATGCTGCCCTCATCTTATTGTGTGTGGTTCAGGTCCCTTGTGAATGGCTGAACATCTTTCTGTTTTACCAGCTTGGTAGTATCACACTAGGTGAATTCATCAACTCCCTGGTAGCCCAGCCTAATCCTCCTACCTGTGAAGAATTGTGCTCAAGGGAGAGAGAGACTGACTCAGAGGGGCTTGGCCTCAGCTCATGTGCTGTGCCCCTTATCCAAGTATGTGCCCTTAATTTCAGATGAAGTCTAATGATGATCCAATGAAGTCTAAAGGACTTCCAGAGCATGGCTACTCTGGTAAAGTACTAGAGGACTTCCAGAGGAGCATGGGAGAGCTCTGGAGGAATACAGGAGAGTCTGGATGAGTTTCCACTGCTCAGGAAGTACAGAGGACCCTAATGCAATGCCTTTAGAGGAAATGGAATGTGGGAGAGGCTACAGGGAACAAAGTTCAAAGCAGGATAGGATAGAAGGAGAGGTCTGGAGGTCTGAAGGTATGGAGTATGGGATGTCCGAAGGTATGAAGGACATAGGACAGGAGGTCCAGAGGTATGGAGGGAATAGGGGCTACACTGGACAAAGTCCAATGTAGAAACAAACAGAGGTAGACTACACTTAGGTAGAGTTGGAGAAATGGGAATTAGACCCAAGTCCCAGAAAGAGGG